TTGCATAACCAAGTAATATGAATCCTTGACAACTTTAATCTTCTCTCCATTTATCATGATGCTGTTTATTGGTCCAATTGTGAGGATTTTTGTTTTCTTCATATTGAACTATAATCCATACTGCAGACTGTAGTCTTCAATCTTTATCAGTAAGTGCTTCAAGTGATCCTCACTTTCAGCAAGCAAAGTTGTGTCATCAGCATATTGCAGGTTGTTAATGAGTCTTCCTCCAATCCTGATGCCATGTTCTTCTTCATATAGTCCACCTTCTCACATTATTTGCTCAGCAAATAGATTGAATAAGTATGGTGAAAGGATACGACCCTGACACACTCCCTTCTTGATTTTAAACTATGCAGTGTCCTCTTGTTCTGTTCTAATGACAGCCTCCTGGTCTGTTTATAGGTTCCTCATGAGTACAATTAAGTGTTCTGGAAATCCCATTGTTCTCAAGGTTATCCATAATTTGTTAAGATTCACACAATCAAATGTTTTTGCATAGTCAATAAAACAAGTAAACATCTTTCTGATATTCTTTGCTTTGAGCCAAGATAAGGATATCTCTCATTCCACATCCTTTTCTGAATCCAGCTTGCATTTCTGGAAGTTCTCTGTCAATATACTGCTGCAATCATTTTTGAATTATCTTCAGTAAGATTTTACTTGCATGCGATATTAATGATATTGTTCAATAATTTCCACATTGTGTGGGATCACCTTTCTTTGTAAGGGGTACAAATATGGATCTCTTCCAGTCAGTTGGCCAGATAGCTGTCTTCCAAATCTCTTGACATAGCTGAGTGAGTGCCTCCAGTATGGTTAGCAGTATCCCTTTGTTGAAACATCTTACTGGTATTCTGTCAATTCCTGGAACCTTGTTTTTTGCCACTTCCTTCACTGCAGCTTCAATTGCTTCCTTCAACAGCATTGGTGCTTGATCATATGCCACCTTCTGAAATGGATGAACATTGACCAATTCTTTTTGGCACAGCGATTCTGTGTATTCTTTCCATCTTTTGATGTTTCCTGCATCATTCGGTATATTGCCCATAGAATCTTTCAATATTGCAACTCAAGGCTTTATTTTTTTCTTCAGTTCTTTCAGTTTGAGAAATGCTGAGTCTGTTCATCCCTTTTGGCTTTCCAACTCCATGTCTTTGCACATTTCATTAGAATAATTGACTTTGTCTGTTCAAAAGCTGCCCTTTGAAATCTTCTGTTCAGCTCTTTTATCTTGTCATTTCTTCCATTTGCTTTAGCCACTCTTCATTCAAGGGCAAGTTTCAGAGTCTCTTCTGACATCCATTTTTGTCTTTTCTTCTAAGGAACCAATAAATGACAGCCAAGGACAAACTCAGGCCAGAGACTTGAAATTAATTGTGAACCACACACAAAGAAAAAACAAATTGCTGGGTCTGAAACCAAATGTTAATACCAATTGTTCCCTGAAGTATGAACCAGCAAAAGTTGGAGTGTATTTTTCAAACACACCTTATGATGCTAATTAATTATGTAACTAAACATATATATATATAAAACCAAACCAAACTCACTGCCATCGTGTTCGATTCAACTCGTAGCCACCCCTCCTTAAGTTTTCAAGGCAGTATCACTACAGAAGTAGATTGCCCAATCTTCCTTCTGAGGAGTGGCTGGTGGGTTTGGTCCACCCGCCTTCTGGTTAGCAGTCAAATGCCTTAGGCACTATGCCACTAGTCATATATATGAATATATATACATATATATGAATGAATGAAACTAATATTTCTTTACAGTGAGTTGACTAAAGAAGATAAAATGGAAATGTGATTATACATGCTATTTTCAAAGTCAACATTATAATACACTGAGTTTTAAACAATTCAGCCTGCAATTATTTTTCAAATGGAGAATATGAGATCCTTTTGGTATGTGTTTTAAGGGAGTAATGTGCAGAAGGAGGAAGGGGGAAGTTAAGGATACATAATCATATTAGAAAACAAATTCAATGAGAGTGAAGAGAGTGGCTGCTTAGAGACGGGAAACGAAATTACCTCTTGAGATTCATTTTTAACACTTGTAGTTAGCTGCCTTTGATTCAGCCCCTAGTTCAAAGTAACCCCATGCACAATAGAAGGAAATGTTGCCGGGTCCTGAGCCATCACCATGATGGATTGTGGATCAGACCATTGTCATCCACAGGGTAGTCACTGGCTGCTTCAGAAGTAGATTGTCAGCTGTTATGGATTGAATTGTGTCCCCAAAAGTAGGTGTTGTAAATTGTACCTCTATGCCTGTGATTATGATCCCAATTGGAAATAGGTTACCTTTGTTATGTTAATGATAGAATTAGCGTAGAGTGTATCTTAAGTCTACACACATACACACACACACACATATATGCAACGCACTGCTGTCTAGTCAGACCTGACTCATAATGACCCCTCCTTGTGTTTCCAAGGCAGTATCACTACAGAAGTAGATTGCCCAATATATATATTTTTTTAAACGCACTACCATCGAGTTGATTCTGACTCATAGTGACATAGCGACCCCCACTGGGTTTCCTAGGCTATAAATCTTTACAGAAGCAGACCTCCTCATGTTTCTTCCACAGGAAGAATGGTGGGTTTGAACCACTGACCTTTTGGTTAGCAGCCAAATATCTTAACCACTACACTACCAGATATCCCTTGGGTCAATATTTTTTAAGAGATAAAACAAGCAAGCAAAAGAAGCAGAGATGGAAGGAGACACAGGCCAAGCCACAGGAAGATTACCAAGGAACAAGGACTTTCCCCCAGAGCTAATAGAGAGAAAGTCTTCCCCTAGAACCAGAACCCTGAATTTGGACTTCTAGCCTTCTAACTGTGAGAAAATAAATTTCTGTTTGTAAAAGCCATCCACTTGTGGTATTTCTGTTATGGCAGAGCTAGGTAACTAAGACAGAATTTGGTACTGGAAGAGTGGGGTACTGTTCTAACAGATAGCTAAAATACAGAAGCAGTTTTGGAATTGGGTATTGGATAGGGACTGGAAAAATTTTAAGGCATCTATTAGAATTATAGATATTGAAGGCAATTCTGGTGAGGGCTTAGAAGGAAGTGAAAGGTAATGAAAGGAAAGAATTATCTGTCTCTTGGAATACTACAGTCAGGAAACAGGCCAAAGGAGCTAAATCTTTTGTCCTCCAAGAAAAGAAAAGAACCATCCCTGGAGCAGCCTGGAGATAAGCAGGATTGTAGGGAAGAGCATAGGAAGCAGGACATCCTTGATTTCAAAGAGTGGGGCCACAGCTTCCTAGGTTTCAAAGAGCCAAATCTTCACCAAGTTGGTCCTGGAGTGTGGGGCTGCCATTACGGTGTGCCAGGGGATGGAGTTGCCACCCAAAGCTGAGGGAGTGGGACAGTTTGGCCCCAAGGGGAGAAGAATGATGCCTGCTAGGTCTTGGGTTGGAGGTGTCACTAATTAGATAGACTAGGAGAATGGGGCTGCCCAAAGCCAAAGGAGCAGAGTTACCATCCCTGTGGGCCTTGTAGGTGGAGCTGAAGCCCAAGGCCAAGGGACCCTCACCCAGAATCCAGAGAGTGTGATAAACACCCAGAATCCAGAGGGCAGGGCCATTGCCCAGATGGTTTCAGAGAACAGGGGAGTATTTTCAAGGCTTGAGAGCTAATGTAAATTGTTCTTCTGGGTTTTGGACTTCCTTGGTGCCCATTAACCCTTCTTTCCCTCTAATTTCTACCATCTGTAATGGAAATGTCTATCTTGTGCCTGTTCCACCATTGTACTTTGGAAACAGAAAACTTATAGTCTAGATTTCACAGGTTCATAGATGAAGAGAAATTTTGCCCCAGGATGGAATATGCCTAACATCTTGCTCATATCTGATTTTGATGATTCAGAAGATAACATTTGGACTTGGAGTTAAGACTTTTGAAGTGACCCAAAAAGCCAACTTTCTCTTCTTCAAATAAGTCCTCCTGTGTGATTTCCACCTCAGCCAACTCAGGTTTGGATTTTCCATGTGGCAAGGACATGAATTTGGGTAAAATATTATGGACTGAATTCTGTCTCTAGAAAATATGTGTTATAAAGCCTAATCTCTATGCCTGTGATTATAATCCCACTTGGTAATGGGTTGTCTTTGTTATTTTAATAAGACAAGATATGTGTAGGGTGTGTCTTAAGTAAATCTCTTCTGAGGTATAAAAGAGATAAAATAAGCAATCGAAAGAAGCAGAGATGGGGGAAGACATATGCTAATCCACAAGAAGATCAGGAAGGAGCCAAAGAACAAAGACCTCCCCCCAGAACCAAAAGAGACAAACCCTTCTCCTAGAGCCAAAACCCCTAAGAAAATCAAGCCCTCTGCCATCAACTTGAATCTGACTCATAGTGACCCCCTTAGGGTTTCCAAGATTATAAATCTTTATGGAAGTAGATTGCCGCATCTTCCTCTTGTGGACCAGGCTGATGAGTTTGAACCACTGACTTTCTGGTTAGTAGCCAACTGCCTTACCCACTGCACCAACACAGTGCTCTTTTCCCTAGAGCCAGGATCTTGAATTTGGATTTCTAGCCTCCAAAACTGTGAGAAAATAAATGTTTGTTAAAGCAATCCACTTTTGATAATTTCTGTTATAGCAACACTAGATAATTAAGACACCAGGCCTTTCTTCCTAGTGTAGCTGTCTAGAAGCTCCACTGAAAACTGTTCAGCTTCATAGCAACATGCAAGCTTCTCGAGACAGACAGATGGTGGCTGCACATGAAGTGCAATGGCCAAGAACCAAATCTGGGTCTCCCACATAGAAGGCAAGAATTCTACAGTAAGCTCCCAATGCCTTCTTGTTTTAATTCTTGTTGCTGTTGAGTAGGCCCCTGACTCATGGCAACCCCATGAATCATGGGAGAGTCACAATATCACTACTGCAAAATAAATATTACATCACAAATGAACCAAAAGTGGGCAAAGTGAAAGTCCTAGAACACAGGCTACAGAGAGACAGGGGAGTTACCTGTTGAAAGCTGGGTGGGTAGGGGGTTCATTTCTTTGTCCACCATCTTCTGGTACAAAGCTCTCAGGCTAAAAGGCTCCACTGTGAAAGGCAGGGTCCCAGTCAGCATGGCATACATGTTCACACCTCTGAAAAGAGAGACATGAAAGATGAGACCAGAGTAAGGCCCTGGGGCGAGGGGACAAAAGAGACACTGGTTCAGCTGAAGTTTCATTACTGTCATTTTGATGCCAATATCAATAGGTCTACTTTATTCATATACTTCTTTCTAGAAAAGAACCCCTAGCACCACATTGAAGTGTCAGTGGTGAAGGGCTTAGGAAAGAGCACTTATTGTGAAGACTTGGACAAAGAACCATAGGATAAAGGAGAAGTTTAAAAAGCTATCTCCTAGGGAAGGGAAACCATTTCTCTATCTTTTCTGCCTATGTTGGGGTAGGAAGTCCAGACCAAGTTATATAAAAAATCCCTAGGAAATGTTAAGAACTTCAATTAAAAGTACTCCTACTTGTACACCAATGTTCATTGCAACATTATTCACAAGTGCCTAAAGGTGATAACTCAAGTGTCCATCAACAGATGAATGGACATTATTTGGGTATAAAGAGAAATGAAGTTCTGATACATGAAGTTCATGATACATGGATGACCTTAAAAACATTCTCATTGCCACTGAGCTAATTCTGACTCATAGTGACCCCCATTGGGTTTCTCAGACTATAAATCTTTATGGAAATAGACTGCCTCATCTTTCTTCCACAGAGCAGCTAGTGGGTTCAAGCCACCAACCTTTTAATTGGCAGCCAAATACCTTAACCACTACACCACCAGAGCTCCTTTAAAAACATTATGCTAAGTGAAATAAGTCAGACAAAAAAGGAAAAATATCGTATGATCTCACTTATATGAAATACCTAAAATAGGCACATGCATAAAGATCAAAGTTTATTAGGGAGGAATGGGGAATTTCTGTTTAACATGATGAAAAACTCTTAGAAAAAGATGGTGATAATGGCACAAGAGTCCCTGGGTGGTGTGGTTAACATACTCAGCTGCTAACCAACAGGTTGGAGGTTCAAATTCACCCAGAAGTGCCTCAGAAGAAAGACCTGGTGAACTGCTTCTGAAAAAACAGCCACTGAATGGGAGCTCTGGTGACATAGTGGCTAAGGCATTTGACTGCTAACCAGAAGGCTGGTGGTTCAAACCCACCAGCCACTCCTCGGAAGGAAGGTTGGGCAATCTACTTCTGTAGTGATACTGCCTCAGAAACCCAAAGAGGAGGGGTCACTATGAGTCAGATCTGACTCAGTGGCAGTGGGTTTGGTTTTTGGTTTTGAAAACCCAATGGAGCACAGCTCTACCCTGATGCACACGCTGTCACAAGTCAGAGTCAACTTGAGCGCAACTGGTTTTAATGATTACACAACACTATGGATGTAATTAATGTCACTGAATTGTATACTTAAAAATGGTTAAAGTGGCAAATTTTTGTTTTGTATCTTTTCCACAATTTTTTAAAAAGTACTCCTGTCATTAGGTTGTTTTCCAAGTATAGTTTATATGGTAGAACCTAAGAGGCCAGATTTAAAAATAGGACGTATAAGTAACTCCCTAACCAGTATAACTGGTTACTACTCATCCCTCAGAAGTGAAAGCCTCTTAACCAAAAAGTGGTTTGGAGCCCTTCCCTCAAATTCTGCTTTGTCTGTAATTAAGAGAAATTCCTTGTGAGGGTCTCCTTACACCCTTATTTTCTGTTTTACTGTTTATCAAGACACTGCTCATGGCCTTGGCCCAATATCTAAGATGTGGTTGAAATGTCTTTTAAAAGGGCTTAACTGCTTATATCCAAAGCCAATCTAGAGAACAGAAACTTCTTCCTGGAGGATTTTTATTTTCCTGATGTGCAAACCTAATATCATTTTGATGAGATTTCCTGATGGGGATGAAATGCCTGCTTGCCAAGAGGTCTCAAGTGTTCAAAAGAGCCCAAGGGAATAAGTTTTTAAAAGAGGCAATAGGATTTCCAGTCAAAACAAATTCAACGAGACTGATTGAAATTAAGGCCCTTGAGACCCAATTTCATCAAGGCATCTCTGAAGCACAGAACTCCAGATAACAGCAGGTACAGGCCCACGGGCTCCAGCTAGAAATTATTCTCAAATTTCAGACATGTGCTGGATCTGACTCACTCCATAACTCATAATCCAGTTAGGAAGACAGATACAAAACATCCAATCCATAAATGTTTGCTGGATGGCTCTCTGCCCCAGACAGCATTTTAATTAAAAACAAAAACAAAAAACCCATTGCCATTGAGTTGATCCTGACTCATAGTGACTCTTTAGGACAGAGTAGGACTGCCCCATAGGGTTTCAAGTCTGTAAATCTTTACAAAAGCAGATTGCCTCATCTTACTCCCACGGAGCATTTGGTAGATTCAAACTACCAACCTTTTGGTTGGCAGCTGGATTTTTTTAACCATTAGCTCTACTGACAGTATTTTAGGTGCTGGGAATTCAGTGGTAGTGAAATAGACAAGAACATGCCATCTTAGAGCTTAGAGTTGAGAGAGATGGACAAAAAATAAGCACAATCCTTTCATGTGGTGATAGGACAAAGAAAATGGGAAAATGCTGAGCTGCACTTTCTTTGACCACAAGAAGAGTTCACTTAAGAGGGAAAGAAGATTTGTAAATAAACACAGGAAGAAAGGAGGCCCCTCAGGAAGTGAGTGAGCTTCCTTGTCTTGGCTGGGTGTGAGGATGGGGAAGATAAACTTCATAAGATAAGAAACCCCATATGAATGTTTATAGCAGCTTTATTCATAATTGCACAAAATTGCAAGGACAAGTTAACCTTCAACAAGTGAATGGAAAAACAAACTGATATAGTCATACAATGGAGCATTAGTCAGTGATAAAGATGTTATCAACCCAAGAAAAGACCTGTTATTGTTGTTGTTGTTGTTATCAAGTGCTGTTGAATCTACACTGACTCATAACCACCCTAGGTACAAAAGAAGGAAACACTACCTGGTCCTGCACCAACCTCACAATCCTTGCTATACCTCAGCCCATCATTGCAGCCACTGTGTCAGTCTATCTCATTGAGGGCCTTTCCCTTTGTCGATGACCCTCCACTTTACCCAAGCATGATATCCTTCTTCATCCCTTCTGACAACATGACCAAAGTTGGTGAGACAAAGTCTAGCCATTCTCACTTCCACAGGACATTCCTGCTTCATTTCATCCAGGACAGATTTGTTTGTTCTTCTGGCAGTCCATGGTACTTCCAGTATTCTTTGCCCACACACAACTCAAAAGCATCAACTCTTCTTCGGTCTTCCTTATTCACTGTCCAACTTTCACATGCATATGAGGCGATTTAAAATACTATGGCTTGGATTAAGCACATCTTAGTCTTCAAAGAGATAGCTTTGCTCATCAGCACCTCAAAGAGGTCTTTTGCAGAAGATCTGCCCAGGGCAATATGACATCTGATTTCTTGACTGGTGCTTCCTTTGGTAGGAGCTCTGGTAGCACAGTGCCTAAGGCACTTGATTGCTAAGCAGAAGGCTGGCAGTTCAAACCCACCAGCCACTTCTCGAAAGGAAGGTGGGGCAATCTACTTCCATAGTGCTTCGGATACTGCCTCGGAAACCCAAGGAGGGGTCACTATGAGTAGGGTCTGACTCGACTATGAGTCAGGTCCTACTCGATGGCACATAACAACAACAGCTTCCTTTGGTGTTGATGGTGAATTCAAGTAATAAGAAATCATTGACAACTTCCATCTTTTCTCCACTTATCATGATGCTGCTTATTGGTCCAGTTGTGAGGATTTTTGTTTTATGTTGAGGTGTAATCCATACTGAAGACTGTAGTCTATAATCTTCATCAGTAAGTGCTTCAAATCATCTTCACTTTTAGCAACCAAGGTTGTGCCACCTGTATATCACAGATTTAATGAGTCTTCCTCCAATCTTGATGCTGTGTTCTTCTTCATATAGTCCAGCTTCTTAGATTATTTGCTCAGCATACAGAGTGAATAAGTATGGTAAAAGGATACAACCCTGACATACTCCCTTCCTGATTTCAAACCATGCAGTAAGCCCTTTTTCGGTTGGAATGACAGCCTCCTGGTCCATGTACAGGTTTCTCATATGTACAATTAAACGATCTGAAATTCCCATTCTTCTCAATGTTATCCATAATTTGTTATGATTCACATAGTTGAATACTTTTGCATAGTCAATAAAACACATGTAAACACTTTTCTGGTGTTCTTTGCTTTCAGAAAAGAATAAACAAAAAAGAAAAGACATAAACAAACAAACCAAAAAACCCATTGCCATCGAATCAATTCCAACTCATAGCAACCCTTATTGGTTTTCCAAGGTGGTAAATCTTTATGGAAGTAGGTTGCCCCATTTCCTTCCATGGAGATTTCTGGTTAGTAGTCAAATGCGTTAGGCACTGCACCACCAGAGCTCCTTAGAAAAGACATAGAAGAACATATTGCTTAGGGAAGGAAGCCAATCTTAAATGGCTACATACTATATTAGTACAACTATAGGACATTCTGGAAAAGGGAAGACTACAGAGACAGTGAAAAGATCAGTGGCTTCTGGGAGTTGAAGGAGGTAAGGAGGGATGAACAAACAGGATCACTTTTAGGGCAGTGAAACTATTCTATATGATATTGTCATGGTGGACACATGACATTATGCACTTGTCAAAATTCATTAGACTGTACAACACAAAGAGTGAACCCTAATGTAAACTATGGACTTTAGTTAATAATAATGTATCAATATTGGTCCATCAAATATAACAAAGGTCCCACACTTTTCCCACACATGAAAGACATTAACAACAGGAGAAACTGTGTACAGGAGGGAGAGGAGCACATAAAAACTCTCTACACTTCCTGTACAATTTTTCTGTAAACCTAAAACTGTGCTAAAATATGAACTGTACGTTTAAAATTAAAAAAGAAAGCTAGAAGTATATTTGTACTCTACCCCCAGATAGTGAGCTTGGTAGTCCAGTGCCTAAGGGAGTTGACTGCTAACCAGATGGCTGGTGGTTCAAATGTACCAGGCACTCCTCAGAAGGAAGAT